ATATCACCATCTTATATCCCACCTACCTTTCATATTCACTATTCTGTTCAATGGCATTCTTCCCTTTCTAGAATCAAAGTTCCATAAGGTCAGGGATTCCCTGCTGAATCCTAGCACCTAGAAGAGTGCTTTCCATATAGCTGATGCTCAATAAATATTTGAGCAACAAAAAAAATGAAAGGAGTGGTCTTTTTTCAGTAGGTATCAAAACCCACACAGGTAGTTAATCTGTGGGAATGGAGCCCATTCGTTGTGAAATCGTCGTTATAGGTTATGCCTTCCATTTGTCAGTATCCTAGAGAGACCTGGCACAGTCTATCAATCTTTCTCCAAACAAATCAACAGTATAAAAATTCTTCTTTCCCAACCCCCACTTCCCTGCTTCTGAGGGCACTGGTAAGGATTTTTCCCATTAAAATGTATTTATTTCACAGGAAAATTTTTTTCCCCCAGATCTGCCTTCCCCGTTTCTCTGGCCACAGCTGCAAAGTTTAGTATTAGTGCCAGAAGCAACCGATTAGTTAAAAAATACATACACTGCTCCAGGCTGGCATCCATTTGTATTTCATTATAAGAGGATATTAAAAATGATGCCTTGGACTTTAACTGTGTACAGCACAACACATCTGTTACCCCTGTTTGTTCTGATAATCTGACTATGAGAGTGAGTATAGCAGTTAGTATTATTCCCATTAACACATAAGGGAGTTGAGGCCTAGAAAAGCTGGTAATACGGAAGGTGACTGGGATGTTTTCCTACTTTTATTTTTATTTTTTACATATTTTTTGGAACAAGGTCTCACTCTGTCACCTAGGCTGGAGTACACTGGCATGATCTCGGCTCACTGCATGCTGGACCTCCTGGACTCAAGCAATTTTCCTGCCTCAGCCTCCCAAGTAGCTGGAACTATAGGTGCACACCACCACGCCCAGTTAATTTTTATATTTTTTTGTAGAGACGGGCTTCATCATGTTGCCCAGGCTGGTCTAGAACTCCTAAGCTCAAGAAATCTGCCCTCCTAGGCCTCCCAAAGTGCTGGGACTACAGATGTGACCACCAAGCCCAGCCCCTATATTTATTTTTTAAATTGTATTTTGTTGCAAGTCATCATCATCTCAAACTCCTAAAAAGAAAAGGCTGTCTTACGTTATACAGTTAACATTTTTGAGAACAGCCTCTGTTTCAGAAATCAAACAGTTGGGACGCTGGGCATATGTACTGAATACCCTGTCATTCATGTTCCTTCTTGCTAAAGTTGAGTTCTAAGAAACTGACAAGATAAACAGAATCCAATCAACCTGTGTTTTTAATTTCGAAGAAAGCACCTGATTTATGAAACTATACTTTTGCCCTACATTTTTATCTAGTGGTAATCCAATTTTAGGCCCTCGAGCTGGTTTCAGAAGAAAAGTACTACCTTCTCTTAAGACACCAGGATGTTATCCCTACTAGACAGCTTAGTAGTCAACTCCTCTAAAATATCTTTACCTGAAGGCCCATAATGGAACAAACTCCCTCCCATGTCTTCTTATGGCACCTATACACACCTCTATCCCAGTCTCATCCTGTGTAAACTGCCTGTTTGCCTGTCCCTCAATAAATCTCCATTTCTTGAGAGCAAGGATCTATCGTCTCTGAATCCCATGCACTAACACAGCCATGCCACGTGATAGGTGTTTGATAGGTACAGGCTGAATGAATGAATGAAAAAAGGCAGTCATCAAAGATGAATGTTAAGGGAGAGGGAAGCTACTTCACTTCTGATATTTATTCCCTTCTATTCACTCTTAGGTTTTCTCCACCACCACCGCCCCCCCGCCACCTATTACTCTCTAGATTGTAGAGCTTCAAAGGAAAAACTGGACATGACTAGTCTCCCCCACCCCACCCAGTCTCTCTTTGGGGACAGGTGTTTGTGGGAAGCACACTGCCACCTGCGCCTTCATGCCACCAGCTTTATAGGCTAGGGCAGACCATATGTAGGAAGGGCTGCTGTGGTCTAGCCCTGCCAGTGACCAGGTAGCTATGGCAGTGTAACTAGGGGTTATACAGTGTTAGGAAGTGCCCTTGCCCACAGTTATAAATTAAATTCTCTAGTAACAAAGGTGATATTTTGTCTTCTTTCTGATTTTAAAAAATATTTTATTTATCAATTGGTTTAGAAATCAGGGCATGGGTGAGGACTTTTTAAAATGAGGGCCCTTAAATCCCCTCCAAATAAGGTGAGTGGGCTTTAAGATTTTTAATTTCAAAGGCTTCTCCTACTCTATAAGTTACAGCTCTCCCAGCCTAACACCATCTTGTTAAGAAAGCAGAAAATGGTAAGCAATAGTATGCTGTGAAACTACATATTTCTATGAATTCATCATACCCTGGAAAAGCCTTTAGCTGAACAAGGGCTAAAATGAATGATGATAAAAACCTTTCTGTGCCATCAGTAGAACATTTTGTTTTATCTATATTTCTAGAATCCCATGATTCAAAAAGTAAGATACAGACTATCTGTATCAAGCTTTGGAACTCTTTCTCATGATATTCTCTCACCCCCACCCCACCCCAAATCTTAAGTGCTACTCTAACATGCAACCATATGAATTAGACCTGCCAAGACTCCCTCTGTCCTTCCCTTAGTGCTGACAAGATGCTTGAGGCTGGGCACAAGAAGATGACAGGTATCATCTTATATACAGCACTTGGCTCAGTCCATGGAGTGGAGTCCAGAACTATGGGCCCAACTTCATCAACTCAATTTCGGGGTTGAGTAGCTTTTCCATGTCCTACAGATATATTTTACCATTATGCAAGCCTGGAGTCTTCTACTATGTAAGAGTTTGGGCAGATAATAAAATACTCCAATGATCAGAACTGATCTCACACAAATGTGCCAGGTAGATTATCATGCACATTTTAGAGAAGAGAAATTGATTCAAAGAGAAACACAGCTAGTAATTTTAAAGGTGGGCATTTGAGCCCCCATCCTTTAGACTTAACAGCCACACACTGCTATTTCCACTCTTCTGCTGTGCCTCAGCAGAGCCTCATCCCTGTTACTGAAAAACTCATTCTGACATAGGGGCCATTGAGAGTGGAGGTAAGGATCTGTTTCCACGGAATCGATGGTATACCACTATTCAGCTTTTAAAAGACTGTGGCAATGTCCTGCACAGACAGGGAGGAGGCGAGCCGAAAATGGCATGCAGACGCATGCGCAGGGCACAGTAGGCATGTGGCTATCAATTTCTAAGACAACATCCTTATGGAATAGATGTAAGTAGAGTCTGGGGCAGTTATTTCTCTGACTTGTTTAAAGATGTTACATAAACAGACAACAAGCAGGGCACTTACTGTGTATTTATGTGACATCTTTGAACAAGCCCCAAGCCTCTGAGAAGCAGAGGCTTTCCTTCTAAGCTGAGCTTCTAAGATCCACGTGCCAAGCCCAGCTTGCTTCTGTGTCATTGGGCATTCAGGGTTTTCTCCTTTGTTGACAAGTGTTGAATCACCTCTCTTACCAGAAGTAGGTCTTCCCTCAATTGCCCCTGACCTTCAATCTTTTTGCTATTGATACAGAATCCATGCACAACGCTGCCCACTTCTACATATGTTATCCAAATGCACAAACACTAGATAACCCAAAGCTCACTCTCTGACATGTGTCCATAGGGACTCCAGCCATGTTGGGTTCAGTGCCCCCAGAATCAAATTCTATGAACATGGGATAAACAGGGACTCATTTTTCCTCTTTGTCGCTTTCCCTCCTGTATTCACTATCATTATTATTCCAATATTGAAGGTCAGGAAGCCAAGAGGCCCAGAATCTTCCTTCACTGTACTCATCTAGAGGACTGCCCGATCCTGATGCTCATGTCTACAAAACACTCCTCCCCATGTCTCGTTCCATCTTACAGCTATTACAGTGGTTCCAGTTCTTGGCCTTAACACTCCTTTCCTACTCTGCTCTTACATCCTTTCCTCTGTAGATTCCTCGCCTCCCATCTTGCCTCTTTTAGCAAGCCCCCTGAAGGCTTTCCTTAGGGCCACACTGCCACAGTTCCTAGCCTTCTCTGACACTTTGCTGCCTCTTTACAGCTTTAGGAAGGTGCTCATCTATCAAGGCTAGGGCATTCATACCCTGGGAACTCCAGCCATTGCTCTTTTTGTGCCTGTCATTATTCCAGGCACAAATAAAAGCTACATTTGTACATTCAAACTATTTCTATCCCCTTGTCATCTCTAAAACATCGGAAAAGATCTGGAGAATTGTTCTCTCTCTAGTTCAAGTAATCATTCCCATCATCTAAAGAGGTTGTGAAATCTTATATTCTTTGATTAAATGTTCTCAGACTGTTCAGAGAAGAGCCAAGAGCTCTCTCCTCTTTCCATCCTAGTCAACCCTCTACCTCCATCCCCAGTCCCCATCCCAACCCAAATAAACCAATATTTGGTTTATTTGAGGTGCCAAACGTCACCATGCAACTGCCATGGCTACTAGCGCTGAGCTTCTGCCAGGCTCTTACTCTTAGTGAATGGTCAAAGTGCACACCTTTGATCTGGACATTTTCTCCTATTTGATGTATGAGCTATAAAACTTTCAAGTGCATTTCTCTTGGACTGCAAGTTCCTGGAAGGCAGGGCTGTCTGTAAGAACAAGGAACTTTTTCTAAGCAGAATCCATGCAAGTAGCTGCTGCTTGATGATGGGAATAGCATTTGAAGTCCCTCAAGTAATATACAAAATGTAATAGCTTGTAACTTGATTTCAGTCCTAGGTATGTAGTTACACCATCTCACCCCACCTAACACCCAGTGTTTTCCTTATCTGGTGGAGTACCCAAGAGTCATGTCCACTTTGATTCTCGGTCTGGCAAACTCATGCTACAACATCACTGGGGATCTGTCCCTCTTTCTAGAGGCTCTACAGTAAGGGACAAAGCCTAAGTGTGCATTCCAGTACATACAGCTTTATAAGCTGACCGGCGCCTTGTTGCAGCCATACTTACTTGGTGACGTGGGGGAGGCTGCACCTCCTTCTGTTGATGTGGTCGGAGGCTTTGTGTCTGGCACCGGCAGAGGCACAGGCCTGGCCATCGGTGGTGGCGGCGGTGGCGGCAACATTGGGGTGGGAAGGAATGGGTTGTGCACCTTGCCTTGGCTGCTCCCATTGGGCTGTGAGCGTGGGGGCAGAAAACACACATACAAGAAAAAGAAGAAAGAGACAGCAACCATTAGCTGCTTCTGAAAACAAAACAGTCAGCAGGCACCTTTAATGTCAATACTAAGTTTCTAGCTGCTTGAATCCTTCCATAAGTCCATATGGATAAGTCCATGTGCAAACATCCTCTGTTGGGTTCTGTTCTTGAGGCATCTCACACAAGTACTCTTAGCTGCAGGTGCCCAATGCATCCTTAGCCGCAGGTGCAGGTGCCCAGTGCATCTTTAGCCGCAGGTACCCAGTGCATCCTTAGCCGCAGGTGCCCAGTGCATCCTTAGCCGCAGGTGCCCAGTGCATCCTTAGCCGCAGGTGCCCAGTGCATCCTGAACTTATCTCTTGAACTGCATTGTCCTTCTTTGCATCTGGTTTTATAAAATCACCTGCCAATCATCATTCTGGATTTGTCACCTGAGTAACCAACTTTTGCTTGGCATGTTTTGTATTTTTCTGTATTAACTGCTCCCTTCATTATCATTCCCATGATTATTAAGTATTTAAGTGTTTTATGGATTGTGGTATATTCCACTTGTTTCTTTACTTAGATATAATAAAGTTTCCTAAATATGCACTTGAGATAAAAAAGTAATATTTTATTTTCACTCTTCAAAGTTGATATTATATAACATTTAATAAATGTGTTAAGTGAACATAGAAAATTTTGTTCACATATTGTATAACATCAGGCACAGAAACTTTAGAATTCAGCTGTCAGAAGTCTGCTAGGGAAAAATATCACTTCTAATTTTGATTTAAATTATATAAGCATATGCCATAAGAGTCATATTTATTTTGCTGCCTGATGTTAAAACAACCAAATAACAGCTCTTTAACAAAAAATTCCCCTCTAAAGAGAGCAATAAAAACCATTTTATTTTCAATTTTTTTAAAATCGTTTCATGAAGAGACCTGCCTTAAGCCCTATAAAATTTTGATCAAAATGCAAGACTGGGCATCTGACAGTTATATAGGGTGTCAGGACTATTAAAAAATGGTTAAAAATTTAGAAGTCACATGCTTGAAGCTGGTGATCAGCTCAGTTTTTTTCACTGTTTCCCGAGTGGCCTCCATTCAGCCAACAACAGCAGTTCATATTTAGTGCCCAATCAAAATTCGGTTGAAGGAGATCCTGCTGTCCCAGGCTTTTACATTTAAGCTTAATAATTCCACAGAGGCAGTCGCACTCCCCCATCAACATTTACTCATATATTTAGTATTGCTCCTCAAAGACTACCTCGTCTGACGATCAGAACGCCGTGCTTTCTTGCCGGCAACCTTGCCTTTGCATTATTTCTGAGTGGGCTGAGAGTCCGTAAGTGAATGCTTTAGAATAAGCCAAGCAAATGAATATACAAGCAAAAAGAAAGGAGGCACCATATTGATTTGTTGTCTAGACAGAAATGTATCTGCTAACACATCACCAGACATTAGTTAAAGCTGCCTGTTCTGGCTCAGATATGCAGAATCAGGTATTTCTGCAAGTGAAAAAAATCAAGTGACAGGACAGTGTGACATGCTATCTTAAATTAGGCAGCAATCATTTGGGCTAATCTGTGACTTCATGCACAGTTATTAGGAGAAAGGGAAAATCAACTTTGGCTGTATGCTGGTCATTGTTTATTATTATTGGCCTTGGGATACAGCTATCCATTGTAAACATCTAAGCCTATATTTGAAATAAAATTTGTGATTTTTAAAAATCACTTTTACATTTGGAATGCCATTTCAAATTGTGATCATTTGGTTTATTTGAGGAAAAATAAAAACATTCGTGTGAAGCTATTGAACACTGTTTAGCTTTATACCAAGATAAGTGGGAAAGATAATGACTTGCAGAAATAACAAACCATAATAAACTGTACTCTCAGCATCTTGAGTTCAAGTACTGGTCAACTTGATCTAAAGTGTTAGAAGACTGTATTTTAAAAAAATATCAACTTAGTTGATCTGAAATATCTGTCCCCTTCATCTCCCTACCTCTCTCTACCACCCCAAATCACTATTTAAAACTATTCAGTCTTTCTATTTTGTTAACTGTATGAGCCCTGGGGTTAGAACACATGGGGTGGAATGATCAGCTCACAGAACTTAGAAGGTTATATAGTTCACCCTTGAGCTGATTTATATCCATAAACTTGACAGTTGCAAACTTAACACAAACACTGTTTTTAAACCCTGACTAATCACTCTTAGAGCAAGTTAACTTTCCCACAATCTAGAATAAATATGACATTTGCCTGCAGTCAGTCAGTACAACATTAGAGCACAATGTCACATGATCATCAGATCTTCCCTTGTTATTTTTATATTCGGCTAACATTTCTAAAGAAATGGAAAAAAAAAAAGAGGTTTCCTTACATTGAGGAACCCCACCTGTCCAGCCTGCTGACCAGCATCAGGGCAGACAAGTTGGACAAATTCTTTCAGCGTCTCCTGAGGGTGATAGCGGATGGCTGGGTGTGAGAAGTAAGGCCCAGGCTGCTGGATAATGGGTGATGTCGGGAAATGAAGAGTCGATGGTGTTGCATGCGGACTTGCTGCAGGAAAAGAAAACATCAGGGTTATGAAAAGAAAGACCTGCTTTGTCACAGCTGAACCCGATTCCACTTCCTCCTCTATTTCTCCTCCTGGCCCGAGTCACAGAATTGCTCATGTGACTGAATCGAACACTGGATAGGTCTGACAGATTTTCTTCCTTAAGGCTTTAAGACAAACACGGAGGTTAGATTAGGGTAGAGTTTCAAGCTGTCTTTCTATTTTCAGTGGACATGAGTTATAAAGGCATTAATAATCCTTGGTGAGGCTGAAGATTATTCATTACCTTAAGAGCCTTTTTAATGAAGCAAGCAATAAAAAATGTATTTGGTAGATTAGACCTGACTTAACTGACATTACATATGACAAATTCTAGTTTGCACATATGGATCCCCTTTCATGCTGAGCTATCCATAGACAATAATTCATTGTTAAAACTCTTATAACCCTTTCAAGGAAATTTCTAGGGACTAATTCAGGATGAAAATTTTTTGAAGTATGTAGTAAATGATCACTTAATGAACCCATGCAATTTGGGTGCCTCACTTTACAAGGATGGTTTATGTCGCCTTCAGATGCCATTTCAAAGCCAAACTCAGAAATGCATATACGTGAGAGCAGGGGAACCCACAGGGTAAGCAGGCAGTGACCCCCTACTAAAATGTTGGCTCTGTGCCCATAAAAAGGATAAAAGACTCAGACAACTACTACTCCCTTACATTTGAACCCTGGTAAATTTCATTTGGACAAGAAGATTATATTAGATTAAAAACCTTATGTGAGGTGCCTAATAACTTTTCTGAGGGAACTTTTGTCCTTGAATGAGAAGGATGATTGATAAAACTGGCTGCAGGATAAGGGCAGCACATGGAAAGGTTGAAGATACTCAGCCCAAGTCAGGCCAAGAGAGCAGCTCTTGCTTCTCAATCAGGGTCAGAGAAACCGCTCCCAAATTAGAGGAGATGAAAGTATTTACCTCTCCTTTACTTTTTGCGGTTTAAATCTTTAAACTCAAGAAGCCCTTGCAAAGAAAAATCAAAGGAACGTCCACATTTTGGAAAATAAGACCTTTCTAATGATAAGAATGACTCATAATACTCAAGAGAATCCCAGTAAGACAGGCCACTACTTCTCCCACTATCCCACTTGCATGGCTAAGGGCTGTAAAAAGAATGCACCTGCATGGCTTGCTGGGCATGGGTTCTTTGTTCCTTACTGGGATCTCCTTATGATTGGGGCACTTTCTGACTAATGACTGAAATGGCTCATACTACAGGGTTCAGAGTGACATCTGAAGTTTTCGAAGAATGGAAATGGGAGATTGGAGTAGAAGTAACTGTCCAATCCGTGTCTTATAGGTGGTCTGATGAAACCCTTTAATTCATGAAACCTTTAATCTGCCCAATAAATATTCGTAGGCTCCTACTATGGGCTCAAGAAACAAATCTGAGCCAAAACAGATGAAATTTTACCCTCAGTCATACAACTGAGGATGTCTCAAACATAATCTATTTGAACCAGAATTTTCATTACCTTTTCCTCTCAAGCTGATGCTTCTCCCAGTCTTCTCCATCTTTGTAAATAGCTTTTCCACCCACTGCAATATCCCCAGAACTGGGTCTGGCACTCAATAAATATTTGTTGAATGGGCAGCGAATGACTAAATAAATAGAGGTTAATAAGATAACCATACTGTTAAACATAGAATAAAATTTGCCAAAACCAAATCTTGGTTTCTCCACCTGGCCAAGAGCCAGAGAACTTTTAGAAAAATGGGTAAAACTTAGGACTTCCTACAATGAATGATAATCTTGGAACTGATCATTGTTGCTGAGTTAAATCCCCAAAGCTAAAAAGTTAAATGGCTCTGGTCATCTCTTAACTCTGCAAATTATGCTACTGGCTTTAAAGAATCAGAGGAAGTTTTTCTTCCAACATGGTACAGTCCTTCTTGCTTATGGCAAAAAACTTTCACTCAGTACACTGCATCTGATGGAATAGTTACTAGTTAGGGACAGAATGTGGTATTTCCCAAACTAGGCTGAGAATATAGTGAACCTAACAAAACGAAACACTCAACTTTTGCAGGATGTCAAACGCCAAGGTGGCAATTCTGCTGACATGAGCCCCTGGTAGGCTGACCTTGAAGATAAAGTGCCAGTGCCTCAGGTGCTCAATGGAAAGTGATGGGTAATTGTCAGATTATGAAATCACGGTGGCCAACAGAGACTGCTGCCCAAGGAAGAAATTCACTTGAGATCAAACAGAACTGATCTTTAAAGAAACAAGATATAAGAAATAATTCAAAAGGACCCTGTCATCTCCCCATTAAATGTTAATACACATCCGTGACCTCATTTTGTTGTTGTTGTTAAATACGTAAAAGAAAATAATTAGCAATGTAAATTTAGACCTTAGTCTATTATACTTTACTAAAACAATTTATTCATCATTTCTCTGTGGAACAGAGTTTAACACAAACACAAGAACATATGATACTATACGGAATTAATTCTACAATGACTGATTTATAAGAATCAATTAATTCTTAATTAATACCAGGAAATCATTTAGCCTGTAGTTTCAAATTAGGCAGTCGCTGAGTCTGCATTTTAAAGGGTCATCCTTTGCAACCCTTACTTTCTCATGATGTGGACTTTCTGGTTCAGTCATCAGTTCACTGTGCAACTGGAGAGAAATCATTCAAGATCCTGAGCCTTCATTTCTTCAAACAGAAAACAGTTATGTTACTGACATCACAAAGCTCTAATTATTATTATTAAGTATATGCTGTTTCTCTGGATAACCTGCATTCATCTTCTACCAGACACATAGAAACCCATTGAAACTCAGAACTGAGATTTCATCAATGCCTAACTTCGTTTTTCTTCTCTCCTATTTCTTGTTTTCTCTCTTTGTTTTGGATATTTTTATTGTACCTAAGTTTTTATTTAAGTTATCTCAAGTCATTTTAGAAAGAGCCATGGGGGTTAAATCAACTTAAGGGTAAAATTCATCAAGTATATTTTGAGATGGCCAGATCAGGCTTTTAGAAAAATATTCCCATTAGGAATTTGGCATGATGCTAAAGGAATGCACAAAGAATGGTATGAGTACAGATTTTTGATGAAGAAAAACACATCTTATGGATGTGTGTGTGAGTAGTTGACACGATAAAAAATTATCACACATTATGTAAATGCATATTTAGATCCTTTAAAATGTGCATTATTTACTTGAGAGTCAATAAAGGCTTTTCTCAAGTGGTTACAGTTTATTGCAGTGCATCCATCTGTATCCATGTTGATGTTAATACAATTTTGCGTATTAAAAGACACTACAAAATTGACTGCTTCCGGCATCTAATACTCTTAGTACCCTAGGCCAGGAGCAGCAGAGAGTGTCAGAAACACTTCACTCCTGATGGATCTCACTACTAGTTTAAACTTTAATGAGTGGCCAGACTTGTTTAAAACAACTGCTTGGGCTTTTCACCAAGAATATAAATAAGATGGGAAGGAAGGACATTTGATCAGGTTTCTCTGGCTGCAATGGCACTGCCTACACATCCTGAACAAAGTAGCCACAATGGAAGAAACAGAGAGCCAGAATTTCCCAAAGGGTGTATTACTCAGCTATTTATTACAAAACGATCATATTACTGGATACTTTAAAAAAAAGAAGGCAGGTCAGACAGGTTGGTTTACTTGTTCATTCCGTTCCCCACCAGTCCAGCACCCCCCAGTTCTTGAAAATCCTCTCTTGGTTTTAGTTTGAAGAGAAAAAGTTAAAAATTCAAACAATTGAAAAAAATGTATATACATATGTAACTCAAAAATGCTTCTTCTGTTAAGAGTAGAATTTATTAAGACCGGGAAAGGAGAAGGTCAGGCTCATTATTGTATTATTGGATATGTTGCAAGACTCATAAAATCTAACCAGTGATTCTTGGTTTGAGAGTCCACTATGGGAAAGAGGTCTTGCAGACACATCGAGTGCTCTTAAGGGGAGCTAGAACTAGTTAGAACATCTAAGGTGGGCCATGTGAAATAAGACTGTATCAGGAAGTGGTGTCCACACAAGCTTGGAATCTTGCCTTTTTCTGCTTTTATAAGTCTTAGGGAAGAAAAAGAAAGTAATCTCTTAGTATTTCCCGTGGTTTTTCTCAAGCTCAACCTTGAAGAACTCAAATAACCCTCACACATTTTCCCTCAAACCAAAACTTTATGGGTTGAAATATGTTCTTCTGTACAACCCTGACATTGCCTTAATTGCGTTATCCCTTGCCCATGAACCGTTGCAGATTCTCACACACTGGACAGAGTCTTGGATTCTTTTCACGTTAGCTTTTGCTTTCTGGCATCAGCCTTTAAATCCCAGTCTCTCTTGTATGGGAGGCTCCAAAGAGAAGCTGTCAAGGGAGCAACACAAACAATACAATCTAATCCTCCTTCAGGTGCAGTGTGCTCTTAAGGCAGTGTTACATATAGGCTTCTTCCCCCACAACTTATAAAAACTCTTGATCACTTATAATTAGAAGTAAAAATCTGTAATAAGGCAAAGCTTCAAATGGAGAAGAAAATTGAAGAAAAAAAATCCCACTTAAAAAAAAAAGCATCTTTCCATAAGGGTAAATTGAACTTAAAAATGACTTGGATTGTCAACTACTATGTATCTTGCTTCTCCAGAAACTCAAAACCACACTACACCATTATACCCTACCTAAAGCTGAGAAATCTATCTTAATGGTCCATAGCTCTAATTTATAAATCATGCATGAATCAGGTCTGCCATTTATGAAAGCTGAGAAGTTTGGAGTTATGGGATTTATTTTAACAGAGATGCAGGAAAGAAGAACTGACAATGGTTTTCAAACCTTTAAGAGGCAATACCTTTTCTAAGTAACAAAGCATTTGACTTGAGGTGAGCCAAGGCTTTTCAAAACTTTTGGTACATCTTTAACATCACTATGATGCACATGAAAGGACCCAGATATGTCAAA